TCTCTAGGACGAACCTGTTCTCCTCACAGTCCATGGTATATTCAATACTCTTCTCCAGCACCACAGTTCAAAGGCATCAATTATCCTTCTGTCATCCCTAGTCAATGTCCAGTTTTCCAATGCATAGCAAGTAATTGCAAAGATTATGGCCTGGATCAGGCTCACCTTATCCATTATCTATTACTTATCCATCTATTGATTGTGAACAGTGCTACAGTGAACATTGTTGTTGTTATGTGCTGTCTGTCGCCTGCATCTCGTAGCGACCCACTCCAGACTGACATCGTTATTCTTCAGTACTTTGGAGAAGTCTCTGACAGCAGACTTTCCCAATGCAATTTGTCTCTTGATTTCCTGGCTGCTGGTACCCAAAGTGTTGATTGTGGAGCCAAGCAAACTAAATCTGTTAACAATCTCAATCTCTTCACCATCTATCATGATGCTGCAGTTGACCCAGTGGTGAGAATCTTTGTTTTCTTGATTTGAGCTTCAACCATGTTGAAGGCTGCATCCGTGACCTTCTACAGCAAGCACTTCAGGTCCTCCTCAGTTTCAGCAAGCAGGGTTGTGACATTATGCATAGCGCTGATTGTTGATGAGTCTTCCTCCAATCCTGATGCCACATTTCTCCTCATAGAGCCCAGCCTCCCAGATAATCTGTTCTTTATAAAAATTGAAAAGGTATGGAGATAGGACACATCCTTGGCGTACGCCCTTCCCAATTTTGAACCATGCAGTGTTTCTTTGCTCTGTTCTGACTACTGCCTTCTGGTTCAAGTATAGTTTCTCATAAGCACAATCAAGTGTTCTGAGATTCCCATTCTTCTCAGAGTCAGTCCCAGTTTGTTGTGATCCACACAGTCAAATGCCTTTGCATAATCACAGATATGCAGACATTCCTCTGGTACCCTTCAGCCAAGATCCATCTGACATTAGCTATAATATCCCTAGTACCATGACCTCTTTTAAACTCAGCCTGCATGTCAGGCAGTTATCTGCTGATGTGCTATTCCAATTGGTTTTTTATTATCTTCAGCACAATTTTGCTTGCATGTACTGATGATATTGTTCGATAATGTCCACACTCTGTTGAGTCACCTTTCTTTGGAATGGGAACAAATATAGATCTGTTTCAGTCAATTGGCCAGGTGGTTGTACTTCAGATTTCTTGGCACAACTTGGTGAGCACATCTAGCATAGTCTGTTGAAATACGTCAATAGGTATGCCATCAATTCCTGGGGCCTTGTTTTTTTGCCAATTCTTTCAGAGTAGCTTGAACTTCCTCCTTCATTACCACAGGTTCTTGCTCATACGTTGTTTCATGAAATGCTTCTGTGTCTGCCAATTCCTTTTGGTACAATGACTCTGTATACTCTTTCCATCTTTCTTTAATACTTCCTGGACCATTTCATATTCTGCCCAAATCATCCTTAAGAATTGCAACTCGAGGCTTGAATTTGTTCAGTTCCTTGAGCTTAAGAAATGTCAAGCAACCTACAACCAGGCGAAGATGAAATAGATAAACGGGATCCTCTAAGAATCAAATCCCTGTGTTGTTGTTGTTGTTATGTGCCGTCGAGTCACTTGCGACTCATAGCAACCCTATGTACAACAGCCCTAAGCTCCGCTCTGTCCTGTGCCAATCGCACTGTCTCTGACAC